GCAGTAGTGGTGTGTGTGGTTGACAGCATTAGTGGTGTGTGTGTGGTTGACTGCAGTAGTGGTATGTGTGGTTGACAGCAGTAGTGGTGTGTGTGGTTGACTGCAGTAGTGGTATGTGTGGTTGACTGCAGTAGTGGTGTGTGTGGTTGACAGCAGTAGTGGTGTGTGTGGTTGACAGCAGTAGTGGTGTGTGGTTGACTGCAGTAGTGGTGTGTGTGGTTGACTGCAGTAGTGGTGTGTGTGGTTGACTGGAGTAGTGGTGTGTGTGGTTGACAGCAGTAGTGGTGTGTGTGGTTGACCGCAGTAGTGGTGTGTGTGTGGTTGACTGCAGTAGTGGTATGTGTGGTTGACAGCAGTAGTGGTGTGTGTGGTTGACTGCAGTAGTGGTGTGTGTGGTTGACTGCAGTAGTGGTGTGTGTGGTTGACTGCAGTAGTGGTGTGTGTGGTTGACCACAGTAGTGGTGTGTGTGGTTGACCGCAGTAGTGGTGTGTGTGGTTGACGCAGGAGTGGTATGAGTGGTTGACTGCAGTAGCTGTTTGTAAGGTTGACTGCAGTAGCTGTTTGTAGGGTTGACTGCAGTAGCTGTTTGTAAGGTTGACTGCAGAAGCAGTGTTTCTGTTCGCAGGTTGGCAAGGGGTGCACTGCCGCACTGAAGGGTCTTGGCGCCACCGTCATGGTCACAGAAATAGACCCCATCTGTGCTCTACAAGCCTGGTAGGTTGACAGTGTTCTGTCCAGTCAACATCAGCTAACAATGTGGGACCATGCTGGTTTCCAGTTGTCTTCCTGCTAGTTTGTTTTACAGTTGACAGCATGGTTGATATAATTAATGACTGGGTTAGTGATGATGTGTATATTATGTTGCCCTTCCGTGTCTTTCAAGAGATACTGTCACCTAATGCTGAGGGTAACTGAGGGTGTACCCTGCAACTGACTTAATACATAGATATTGTCACCTAATGCTGAGAGTAACTGAGGGTGTACCCTGCAACTGACTTAATACATAGATACTGTCACCTAATGCTGAGAGTAACTGAGGGTGTACCCTGCAACTGACTTAATACATAGATACTGTCACCTAATGCTGAGAGTAACTGAGGGTGTACCCTGCAACTGACTTAATACATAGATACTGTCACCTAATGCTGAGGGGTAACTGAGGGTGTACCCTGCAACTGACTTAATACATAGATACTGTCACCTAATGCTGAGGGTAACTGAGGGTGTACCCTGCAACTGACTTAATACATAGATACTGTCACCTAATGCTGAGGGTAACTGAGGGTGTACCCTGCAACTGACTTAATACATAGATACTGTCACCTAATGCTGAGGGTAACTGAGGGTGTACCCTGCAACTGACTTAATACATAGATACTGTCACCTAATGCTGAGGGTAACTGAGGGTGTACCCTGCAACTGACTTAATACATAGATACTGTCACCTAATGCTGAGAGTAACTGAGGGTGTACCCTGCAACTGACTTAATACATAGATACTGTCACCTAATGCTGAGGGTAACTGAGGGTGTACCCTGCAACTGACTTAATACATAGATACTGTCACCTAATGCTGAGAGTAACTGAGGGTGTACCCTGCAACTGACTTAATACATAGATACTGTCACCTAATGCTGAGGGTAACTGAGGGTGTACCCTGCAACTGACTTAATACATAGATACTGTCACCCTAATGCTGAGGGGTAACTGAGGGTGTACCCTGCAACTGACTTAATACATAGATACTGTCACCTAATGCTGAGGGTAACTGAGGGTGTACCCTGCAACTGACTTAATACATAGATACTGTCACCTAATGCTGAGGGGGTAACTGAGGGTGTACCCTGCAACTGACTTAATACATAGATACTGTCACCTAATGCTGAGGGTAACTGAGGGTGTACCCTGCAACTGACTTAATACATAGATACTGTCACCTAATGCTGAGGGTAACTGAGGGTGTACCCTGCGACTGGCTTAATACATAGATACTGTTACCTAATGCTGAGGGTAATTGAGGGTGTACCCTGCGACTGACTTAATACATAGATACTGTCACCTAATGCTGAGGGTAATTGAGTTTGTACCCTGCGACTGACTTAATACATAGATACTGTCACCTAATGCTGAGGGTAATTGAGGGTGTACCCTGCGACTGACTTAATACATAGATACTGTCACCTAATGCTGAGGGTAATTGAGGGTGTACCCTGCGACTGACTTAATACATAGATACTGTCACCTAATGCTGAGGGTAATTGAGTTTGTACCCTGTGACTGACTTAATACATAGATACTGTCACCTAATGCTGAGGGTAATTGAGGGTGTACCCTGCGACTGACTTAATACATAGATACTGTCACCTAATGCTGAGGGTAATTGAGGGTGTACCCTGTGACTGACTTAATACATAGTTACTGTCACACATTGGATGAGACATGGTGAGTTTTGCATGATGAGTTGTGAAAAATCCCATGTATATTCCCTGTTTCAGTATGGATGGGTTTCGTGTTGTGAAGCTGGATGAAGTTGTCCGACAGATAGACATCCTCATCACATGTACAGGTAAGTCACCCGTCACTCCTCAGTTACTACCTTGAAGGGGTTGTTCTCATATATACACGCTGCTGTGTCAGTCGTAACTTTACCAGGTACAGGTACAGGTAAGTCACCCGTCACCCGTCACCCGTCACCCGTCACTCCTCATTTACTACCTTGAAGGGGTTGTTCTCATATATACAGGCTGCTGTGTCAGTCGTAACTCTACCAGGTACAGGTACAGGTAAGTCACCCGTCACCCGTCACCCGTCACCCGTCACCCGTCACTCCTCATTTACTACCTTGAAGGGGTTGTTCTCATATATACAGGCTGTTGTGTCAGTCATAAATTTACCAGGTACAGGTAACATTACTTCATGTACGGGTAAACTGGCATGTGTGGTACTGGTAACATGTGACATAGGGTACAGGCCAAATGAAGTAACTATTTTGACAATATCACCACGAAACAATGACTATATGTAATATTCTGACCTTCCAGGTAACAAGAATGTTGTGAATCGCCAGCATTTGGACCGGCTGAAGAATGGTTGTATCGTCTGTAATATGGGTCACTCCAACACAGAGATTGATGTGGTAAGAACTCCCTCCTTATGTTTAACAGTCATCAATGGGAACTTACCTGGCATTTCTGCTCATAGTTCTCACAAAATGCTGTTTTGGCTCTGCCAGTGCAAGAAGACTAAGGAAGCTGAACTTTTGACAGTTTTGTGTCTCGCTAAACACATTATGGCATATTATTTTGTTAAAATCAGCAATGTCCCAGAAGGGTACCATCATTCTTGTAGATATGGAAACATTGTTTATAGTTACTTGTTGCAGATTTGTTACATTTATGTCCTCCGTATTTACACATGAATATTTTGAACAGCAATGCTGTCTGCAACGTTATTGTTACATACTCCAGATCCAAGTGAGCAACAGTACCATTGTTTTTCTTAGCATTATTAGTAAATACTTTATCACACGTAGAGCTATCTATGGATGTGTATCTGACTGTATATATCTGGTTGTTTCAGGCAAGCTTACGAACCCCTGAGCTCACATGGGAGAAGGTGAGATCCCAGGTCGACCACATCATCTGGCCTGATGGGAAGAGGATCATACTGCTTGCAGAGGTCAGTCTTTGCCTGGGGCACAGGCCAGTACAGATTTGGGTACAGGGGGTACATATACTGAGTCAAAAAAGAAACTTCACAAAATGTAATTTGAAAAATAATGAATAATTTTTCTCTGATGATACATCTATGTATCCGAAATGGGATCCCTATCTTTCAACTCTAGAAAAACGTTAGCAAAACCCACTCAAACCCATCAATTCCTCGTGCAAATGACGTTAGTGCCAAATCAGGTTTTGCACGTGCAGTCGATCACGTGATTTTCGCATCGAAGTTTTCTTCATATGCACGTGTTTGCATTGGCCTCAAGAATTGAAAAAACACTTTTAAACCACAGTTCTAGCGGTGCTTGAAATGCCACGACTGTCAAATGTGCAGCGTGAGCGTGCCGTTGGCATGTTGCAAGCGGGAAGATCAGTTATTGACGTCGCCAAGAGCAATGGGATGCAACCGTCAGTACTGTGTATGACTTGCGAGGTCGTCTACAACAAACTGGCACCACTTCTGATCGCCCAAGGTCGAGGTCGTCCACGTGTGGCGTCCACGAGCTGAAGACAAATCAAATCGTCCTACATCACCTATGTGACAGATTTCTGCCGGCTACGAACCAGGGCTGAGATGTTTAGAGGTCGACTGTCCTCACAGACCATTCGAAATCGGTTGCGGGCTGCCAATCTCCATTCTTGACGTCCATATCGTGGGCCAATATTGACGCCGTTTCATCAACGTCAACGTCTGCTGTGGTCACCTCCGATGGACCCAGAGAGACTGGAATTGAGTCGTCTTTAGCGATGAATCCAGGTTTACCCTCAGATTCGCGGACGGCAGGCATAGAGTCTGGAGATGACGTCGTGAACGGTATGCCCAATGTTGTGTACATGAAGTCGACAGATTGGGTGGCGGAAGTTGCATGGTGTGGGGTGCTTTCTGTGGGAACAACCGTTCCCGACTTCTGGTCATCTGTGGAAACCTCACAGCTGCTGCTTACCGCGACCAGGTGCTCACCCCTGAACTCGTTCCTTTCATGGCAGCTCATGGCCCAGGTCTACAGTTCCAGCATGATAATGCTCGGCCGCATACCGCGATGTTGACACGAAATTTCCTTCAAAACGCTGGATTCAACGTCATGGACTGGCCATCGAGGTCCCCTGACCTTATTCCAATAGAGCACGTTTGGGATGCACTTGGGAGGAGGCTTCGTGGTCTTAGGAACCAACCTCAGAATTTGCAGGAACTTGGTGCTGCCTTGCAAGAGCAATGGCGCAGAATCCCCAACCACGTGTTCACAAGCATCAGGCAGTCGATGAGGAGTCGGTGTTTGGCAGTGGTGAATGCGCGGGGCGGCCATACACGATATTGAACTGAGAAATTTCGCATTTTTATTCTTGTGACTTGACATTCTGTATACCCATGTTTTGGAACGGCGGTGTAGCCTAATGGAACTGATTATGGCACTGTCAGTGTATCGAGTACATCACACAGATCTCAGCAATGAAATAATAACAATTTCACCATCTTACAATCTCTATAGTGCCCTGAAGAAAGAATGTGAAGTTTCTTTTTTGACTCAGTATACTTAGCTACAGGTGGGTACAGACTTGGAGACAAGGGGTACACAATTGGGTAAATGGGGTTATAAAGTCGGGTTTACACATGATTAAGGGCTGGTGCTACAAGGGTAGAGAGAAGGGCTGGTGCTGCAAGGGTAGAGAGAAGAGCTGGTGCTGCAAGGGTAGAGAGTTGGGCTGGTGCTGCAAGGGTAGAGAGAAGGGCTGGTGCTGCAAGGGTAGAGAGAAGGGCTGGTGCTGCAAGGGTAGAGAGGAGGGCTGGTGCTACAAGGGTAGAGAGAAGGGCTGGTGCTGCAAGAGTAGAAAGGAGGGCTGGTGCTACAAGGGTAGAGAGAAGGTCTGGTGCTGCCAGAGTAGAGGAGGACTGGTGCTACAAGGGTAGAGAAGAGGGCTGGTGCTACAAGGGTAGAGAGGAGGGCTGGTGCTGCAAGCTGCTACAAGGGTAGAGAGGAGGGCTGGTGCTGCAAGGGTAGAGAGGAGGGCTGGTGCTGCAAGGGTAGAGAGAAGGGCTGGTGCTGCAATGGTAGAGGGGAGGGCTAGTGCTGCGAGGGTAGAGAGAAGGGCTGGTGCTGCAAGGGTAGAGAGAAGGGCTGGTGCTGCAAGGGTAGAGAGGAGGACTGGTGCTACAAGGGTAGAGAGGAGGGCGGGCTGCTGCAAGGGTAGAGAGGAGGGCTGGTCCTACAAGGGTAGAGAGGAGGGCTGGTGCTGCAAGGGTAGAGAGGAGGGCTGGTGCTGCAAATGTAGAGGGGAGGACCGGTGCTACAAGGGTAGAGAGGAGGGCCGGTGCTGCAAGGGTAGAGAAGAGGGCCGGTGCTGCAAGGGTAGAGAGAAGGGCTGGTGCTGCAAGGGTAGAGAGAAGGGCTGGTGCTGCAAGGGTAGAGAGGAGGGCTGGTGCTGCAAGAGTAGAGACAAGGGCTGGTGCTGCAAGGGTAGAGAGGAGGACTGGTGCTACAAGGGTAGAGAGGAGGGCTGGTGCTGCAAGGGTAGAGAGGAGGGCTGGTGCTGCAAGGGTAGAGATGTTCTTGGATTGGTACAAGAGACATAAGGTACATGGGTAGAGAGGGACTTGAATTATTACCAATACCACTGATCAGGTTTGTTGATGTTATTTGTTGCAGGGTCGTCTTGTCAACCTCAGCTGTTCATCAGTTCCATCATTTGTTGTGTCTATCACCGCCACAACTCAGGTGGGTTCTTGTGTACAACAACCATTCCTTATGACAGCCATCTACACACTTATCTGTGTCATGTCTGCCTGAGCATTGTCCCGAGCTGGTAGTGGTATGTGACACCCTGTGCTAAGTAGTGTATGTTGCCTATAAATATCATGGCTGCGAACACAATATCTTGTGCTGGTCCCCTTTCATCAGTGTATCATGTACTGTCTTGCATTGTCACTGTATCTTATTATCCAGTGACATGTTCATGTGAATCTTTCAAGCTGTATTTCTGACACATCATTCATTGCCTTCAATTGCTAGGAGTGAGGAGTGATATATATATGTTCATGGATTCAACTGAGTATTGGACAAAGCCAAGATAAATCTATGTTAGAACAGTTCAGCTTTGCTGTCTCTGAATGTAAGTGATGTGTTGCAGGCCTTGGCTCTGATTGAGCTGTTCAACGCCCCCAGGAGGCCGATACAAGCAGGATGTCTACCTGTTGCCAAAGAAGATGGGTAAGTGAACTCCAAGCACAGATAGATGTTTCTGGAAGCACGCTGTCAGCTTCTGGTTTTGCTGTCAGGGGCATACCTACCATTATAAAACAAAGCACAGGCTTACACATGACTGTTGCTAAAAACGTTGGGCTAGCCCTCAATACTATCTGAATATAAATCTTTGCAACCTATCGGGCTTACATGAAAAAATTGGCTTGCTACGCGCCTGGCTGTGACCACTTCAATAGCTCTTCAACAGTGACAGGCAATGTATAAGTAGTTGACATTTTCAGGATGAGTGAGTTTCAGTTTCTTCAAGAATGGTGGTTTTAAGCAGTATGGTTCAGATGGCATTTTAAAGGTAGTATTTTGTGGTAATTCAAACTTGAAGAAAGTAATTTTAAGCTTATGTACATCTGTGGTTGCCGTATGGCCTACCTGAGCTGGCTTCCAAGACATGAGGTGAAGGGAGGTAACCCTGTACCTACGCAAGGGTCTTTTATCAACATATAGTTATGATCATAATGTGTGGACTGTTCATCTAGTCAGTAGACTCCCAATGTTGGCAGAAACACAGTATCTTAAGTGATGTCATGGCTTAGCTCATTCTTTTCATTATTGTCTTCATGTGGTCCATCCATGGTACGACCCAGAATATGTAGAGGGCATCTTGGAAATTTCTCTTGAGTAGACACATATACAGCCTCAGATGTATCAAAGCCAACAAACCTGGCTTGTCCTTTTGGATAAAACTAATGAAATTATTTGACACAAATATGATTGACAATACTCAAGAGGGACATGGCAGATAAGTGGATCTTGCTTACGGAATGTCCCCTTGCATTTCAAGTACCAAGTTGCCTGATTCCCCATTGTTCTTGGTGGCTCGGGTTTTGTACCTTCACAATCAGACACGGAACACAAACAAAATCCTGTCTAGAAATTGTTTTGGGTGTATATGCCATGGTACTTACTCACCAACTACTGGAGAATAAAATATTCACAACAGTATAATAACATGGCAGTGGTTTTTGCATTCAGATTACCTAGATCACATTCATTTTCAAGATACAGTAAGCAAGTATTCTTGTATGAATGCTTCGCTCACCTGTAATGAGAAAACAAACTGGTTGATCAGAAATTCTCCTTACACAATCTTATGGAAGTGTCCTCAAGTCCTCATGCAAAGAGGCATACTAAATTTCTTTGAGAATTAAGTGATTTATTATTGTTAATTTTTCAGATGAGTATGTGGCAAGTCTACATCTACCAACATTTGACGCTCACCTGACTGAATTGTCGGACGAGCAGGCCAAATATCTGGGCCTAAACAAGGCTGGTCCTTTCAAGCCAAATTACTATAGGTGAGTGGTGCAGCTTCACTCTTTGTAACAGCAGAAAGTGAGAAAATTGTTGCACACACAAACATATGTATGTATGAATATTTATACCTGTACCTGGTTTATCATTATATTTAAAATATGACTATATTTCTTTTCAGATATTAATACAGTGCTCTCTTTATCAACAAGATGGCAATGCCAGTGATGTCATCAACCTCCGAGCATTCCATTTCAACACGGTGCAGTTGAACAGGAATATTGTACATCTAGAAGGAGATACTTATGCACCAGCCCTCAATGTGATGTCCAACTACATCAATTATTAGACTAGTTCTCAGGTTTCCAAGACAAGTGTCGCAAACAGAATCAATGTGTTGCGATAAATCTCAGCATTTTTTGCCAATCACTGATAATCTCATTGATGCCGAACCACCGCCACAATAAGCACCTTCCACAGTCTCACAAATCAGGACCATGTCGAAGCCAACTTGAGCAATACTCATTATAATAAATGCAAGACTTTAATGAGTGCTACTCAAGTCCTGCTTTCTCTGGTACCCTCATGTATAGTGTGGAGGTTATCTACCATTGCTTTCATGGGAATCATTCTTTTACTGATATCAGGTGTACTTCATTTGGTTGTATAAATATCTTTTAAGTATCCGTCAAAATTTTGGATTTTAAATCACTGACATATAGTTTTCATACAATTGTTGTCCTTGAACTTCAAATTGACAAGACTGATGTACATTTGAGATTTGACACACCCAAGCTTCATGTCTGTCATTCTTTTATTCCAAGAATGGTTTTACGAAAAAGGCTGGTCCTGAAATTTCATCTTTGAGTTGTAACAATAAAGAAATATCTGTACTATTTATGCTTCTATTCTCTGCAGTAGGTTGAAGACAAGCTGAGCTGTAAGATTGACTGGAGTATATAACACATGTAATTTAAACCTATTACCCAGATGACCTGTATTAATTTGCTTGTATGACACATGGCATGCTAAGAGTATTACATAATCTCTTTAGTTCAGTGTATGTGGTTACATATAGTTTGATTTCAAGCGTAATGAAATATGCTTTCCAAGGAGCTATAGGAATTCTATGTTTGCAGAGTCTTGTTGCTAAGAAATCAATGACCAGTTTTATTTTGAAAGCGGGATTTTACCTACAGTGTGTTTCTCCGGGCTGTGATACAGATGGATGTTGGCTTGTATATATTTCCTTGGTATCCTTATACTGCACTCACATTGTTTCCTGAGCAACAGATTCTGCCATCGTTATCATGTCTGTGAATTCTTTGTTCAGCTGGGGTTGATTGCTTTTGCAGATTTCATGTCTAGCTCTGTTGATGTTAACCATCACTAGGTATCAGACGGTTTCCTCCATTCCATTAATATGTATACATCTGTTTGTTTCTACCCCCACCCTGTCTCCAGTGTATAGGTAACAAAAGCTGTAAAAGCAATGCTAGTCAAATTTTAGGTCTAGCAGGTTGCCAGACAGGTTCACATTGTTGTTCAAGAAGACGATAGATTGTTGAGAAAAATGAAAACAGTAGTTTGATCTGTAACAAGGACAGGTTACTCCGACTCACCTCCATGAGTGTTGGTAGCCTGTTTACATGACTTAGCCAAATATGGCAAACTGGTTGGTCCCCATACTGTACACAGCATGGGATTCAGCACAGTATATCTCTTTATCTACCACATATCCCAGACGACGTGACGTAGCCCAGATTCCAGATTGTGTTCCAAATGTTCCAATTCTATGCACTCAAGTCTCGCCCAGACTATCTGGAGAGTTGTAGATACTAAATGTTCAGATGTGTGGTGACCAGGGGACTAGCAAGATGCCTGTTCTCACCATCTTCCATCAATCCAACACATGCTTGGAGCAGGGAGGAGGGACTCTCCACCACAACATACACACTACATTCAGATGAGCAATTATCTGTTGGCATTACATATATATACATATATGTCAGAATAGGATATCTTTTGAACTACTTACTAGCCCATTCCTGCCTTAAGATGGTTCTACAACGAGACCCAGAGGGCCAGTAAGAGTCAGCCCCTCCTCCCATCTCTCTGCAGTCAAGTAGTGCGTGTGAGGCACTAGTCAGGTCGCCAGTGTGTTACAGCAGCTGTATATTTCATTATGTATAATCCTCTGAAAAGTGAGTACGGGAGACATGTACGCTGTAGTATGAGAGAATAAACAGTAGAAATCATTGTCAGGTGTTGTTCTTATTTGAAATTCACTGATCTGTGGAGCAATTCATTTCCAGATATATCCCACTTTCCCCAACAAATTCAAAAGAACAAATCATCAGATTGATATATACACAAATAAGTATACGTTAGCACCCTCCTGAAGGGTGATATGGATTTCAACGCCGCTTTCGAGCCGGCAGGCGAGAGCGTTGAATCCATATCACCCGCAGAGGGGGGGTGCTAACCTACTTATACCACGTGGGCGCCGAATGGACTCGTACATTGCTTGTTGCACGTGCGTTTCCTGCACCGCCAAGGTTGTTATCCGCATATCAACCTCTGCACGTGCAGATAGAAGGTTGATACACAGAAAATCAACCTGCCAGAACAATGGACATAACATACCCTAGTGGTATAACTTAGTTAAGCACCCCCTGACATATCTCACTATTGAATGAGCCTGATCTTAACCCTTTGGAGCATATCCGGGACATGATTGGTTGTCGTGTGCAACAAAGGGACTTCTGTACAGAACCTGGCCCAATTGGAAGCTGCTTTACAGGAGGAATGGTGTATACTGCCCATTAGACAGAGGATCAGGAGGCTGACGGGGGGTATGAGGAGGAAGTGCTGGCTTTCATACAGATATATATACAAATGAAACAGAATTGTCTACACAACAGACATTCCTTAAAGGGAAACAGCACTCCAACTTTGAAAGTTTCAAAATCTCAATCAGTTGTTTCTTCACAGAATACAGATTTGCTTATTATGGACTATCGTTCTGATACGGCTTTATTTGTGTTCAGCACTTTTGTAGCTGAATGAAGCAACACCTATTGGAGCATCAAAGAGTAAGAAGCTACCATAACAAAGGGTTTACAATGAAGAGCTATGAGTGAACATCAGTGTTATGCACGGTAAAAAGTACACAGTATCCCTTCAGAGACATCAGGTAAACAAACATGGTCAATAAAATGTAAAATCTGAGATCGTTTATCAAGAGACATGATTTACCATTTGTATGCAATTGGTTTAACACTTATCAATCTGATCATGTGAAGCGTAAAGGGAGAGGAAATATACTAAGCAGCAAAAGAAATGTCAGTTTGGAATTTTCCTTCGCAGAAACAGATAATTGTAAACTCATTTAATGTTTTGATTGTATATTTTTGACAACATCTCCAACTTTACCTGAGCAAAGACATTCCTTCCCAAACTCAGAATGGAACCCAGGAAATGGTCTAAAAAACGCAACCTGATCTCAGAGATGGTACGGTGTTCTCCATGTTTTTCATGCAACTCATGATGCACGTGCTATTCACAAGGACCAGCCCTATAATGCATCCCCAAACCTGGTTGAAACATTCACATTACAATGTCAGCAGGATGCCGCGACTCACAACAGCTCAGAGGAACCAGGCGCAAGGAAGACTTGAAGCTGGCCACACTGCACAAGCCGTTGCCAATCACTTCCAGGTCAACGTTCGGACCATCTACAGGCTGCAGCAATGTTTCCAGCCTACCAACACCACAAATGATCGCCCCCGTACTGGCAGACCCAGGGTGACCAAAAGACGACAAGACCACCATGTTGTGCGACAGCATGTACAGAATCCCTTCATGCAGGCATCCGAAACAGCACGCCAGACAGTGGGAACACACGGAAGACCAATCAGTACGCCGACGTCTTAACAGCGGGAAACTCCATTGCCGTAGACCTTACCGCGGACCTATCCTCACCCCTCATCATCGGCATGAACGTCTACAGTTTGCCCTACAACACCCAAACTGGCGATACAGGCAATGGAGAACTGTTCTGTTCACAGATGAGAGTCTGTACTGCGTATCAACTGCAGATGGCAGAACAAGAATATGGCGACGACGTGGCCAGCGTTATTAAGACCAATGTGTTATGGAAAGAGACTCATGGGGAGGTACAAGCATCATGGTATGGGGTGCAATAGGCCTGTACCAGAGAGTGGGTCATGTGCTGTTCCAGAACCTTGGTCCAGGGAGAGGAGGCAGCATCACAGCAGTGCACTACATCGACCAAGCTCTCGGACCCCACGTCATACCACATTTCGCATGTCACCGGAACATTTACCAGCATGATAACGCCCGGGCCCATACTGCCAGAGCTACACGGGACTACCTCCAGCAGAACGGTGTCAACATTATGCAGTGGCCAGCCCTTAGTCCTGATTTAAACCCAATTGAACATCTTTGGGATGAAATTCAGAGGAACCTGAATAATGTCATACCAATGCCGAACACAGCCGATTTATTGCACCAGCCCTTTCTCAGAGTGTGGTTCCAGGTGCCAATGGCCTTCATCGATCAATGGGGAACATTCCTCAGTTATCTCCCTTTACAGCTTCGCCAATAGATGGCGCCAATCACTACGGTCCTAAGTATACTTCCGGCATAATGATGGCGTTCAAAGTTTGTTGCACGGTCAATTTCAAATGCGCAGCAATATTACGATGCTTGAAACGTGCTGCCGTGCCTCGGGATGCTGCAAGAGAGGTTCGACGTGTCCGAGAGGTCAAAACTTGCTGAAGTGGTTGTTGACTATTATTTGAAGTAGCGACGAATGAAACAAAAGCATGACGAGGTAGCCGTCAGCTCTCGCTGGTCTCACTCTCAGTGTTGTGTGCCATTTCCACTTCTTGCAGTGCGATTTCGTTACTGTAACTAATTATGGTAAGTACCACGTATTTTGTATCTTTTACAGTTTGAAGAAAACGTTGTTATTGTTATTCTCCTTGCCATTTAGTTAACGTGCATGCCAACCGAAATTACGAGTAGGGGTTTTGAATCGATTCAGGGAAAAAGAATGTGTTGCTTAAGAGGGACACATGCTGTACAAAACTTGTTACGCGAAACATTAGTGGCCTCTCACTGTAGTAATCATCAAAACGTACAGTACACAATCTTTTCGCTTTACAAAGGGCGCAGCCCAAGGCGTCACCATCTGTAGAATGCCACTGATGTTATCGTCTGATATCGGCACCCCTGAAGATTAGCCATAAACATGATAAAACAGTTTCTGTAGTAGTTAGGCTTTATTCATTGTTAACATTGTTTCAAAATGTTCCACCGTACTTGAACACAGCTATTGCATTCTAATTTCAGTTTAATCTATTGAATTTATTTTCAACTATATTTCAATTATATCTTAGCAAAGCATTCATCACTTGATATGGCCTGTTGATTTTACCTCCCTGTCTTCTCTCATACAGCACCTGGTCATGCATCTTAAATACAGTTGTCAGTTTGACACTGAGTTACATTGAGTAATATACTTAAAATTCTAATGTATGTGATATTTTCACATATGCTTATATCTCCTGATGACAGGTAGAGTAGGCAAGTAAATTGGAACAGACCCCAATTTATTATTTTCAATATTTTAAGGTAATTGGCATTTCACAAGTAAATTTTCATGTGAACCCGTGGGTTAACTTTCATTTGCTTCTTGCTTTTAAAAAGCAAGTTAGCATCATTATGTACATGTTTGCAAGGTTGCTTTTGTTTGACAATAACACCTTTGCTCCCTTCATTGTTGAATTAAAGTTTACCAAGAATGCTAATACACAATTGACTTTTTCCCTTTAATGCATCATATTACATCTCCCTACAGGTGCCTATTGTCCACAAAGATGAGGCCCACGTGATTCCAGAATACACATGCTACAGGTTAGTGTTTGTTTACTTTTGGTATGAATTTGTCTGAATAATGTCTGGTGTACTTGTTGAACACACTTCTTTGTATCAGAAAAAAAATTAACGAGGAGAGTTACTTGCTTGATAACGGTGTTAGTAGCTACACCACAATGTCGCTCATATTATATTAAAGAAGTTGTATATCCATAGAACTCTCCTTGTTGTTCGTCACACCAACTTCTATATGCCACTCAGAGAAAGAAAATGTCAGCATATTTAAATTATGCTTCTCCATAGTTGAAACATTTGTTAAGAATAATGTTTTCCACCTTTGACCTATCGGAATGAATATGTTCATTATGTGACATGTCTTTCTCTACAATAGTAACTTAAATCTGATAATGATTCATTTTGTCATAACTGGCAGTCATGAGATAATATTACCCTGTATCAGTTTGGATAGTAATACTCCACTGATGTTTTCCAGGATGAACACGTCTGAGGCAACAGAGAGAAACATGGTATGACCAATTCTTTCCCTGGACTGTATCAGCTGACCCACTTAATGCTGGTGGATACTTGTGATATTGAATATAACATCAGTGAGGTCGCTGGGGAGGAAACAACCACCCATGATGATTTTGATGGCAAGAATATTGAGCCAAACATTTTCTCTCCAGACTGGGCACAGACCAAATATGAAAGTAACTGTATATCAACACAGAGACAAACATGCGGTGCTTCCAGTACTAACTATTATGCCTAGTGCTGGGGCAATTTTCATTTACACAGGACTGTCAAAATATTCAAACTTCACTGTTGTACTTCCATTTTTGGTGCATATGCATGCCACCTAAATTATCTGTACAGCAATATTGACAGTATGATTGTCAATGTGGAAAACATCAACATGCATCTGATGTAAGTGTTAATCAAGGTTCTTCAAAGGAGACCATCATTTTTTACTATATGTATGTCTATATTTATGAATGTCCATACATGCAGAATATAATATGTTGAACAATAAAAACTGAAATGACAACCCAGACTTTGTTGATTTTTGTCTGATGATAATTGACACATGAGAAAAATCGTAAGTATTGTAGAATCTCAATTGTACCATTTAGACTACCATCCAAAGGCTAAATTATTACGTGATTCAGTATTTCAAATACACACTGTGTTCACTGTCCTTTATGATTGTGATGAGCCTTGATGTAATTTGCAAACCCTTCACACATGCTGGAATAACAAATGTGAAATATTTGTAATCAAATTTAAAAGGCTCCCACCTTAAAAGACAATGAACCCGATACCCCCTTGCTTCTGGCATCAGATAGTTCAGACCTCCAGTAATGGTTCAATGTGTTTATAATATTTCAGTAATTCACTTATGCTTAGTTACATTATTTGACAACACCTGAAACACAATTTCAAATAATGTTCTTGTGTTTTCAAAATGTGATCTATCATTTAGATACTGGTTATTTGTGTTGAGAAGAGACAGCCTTTAAAAATGGTACAGATTGGGGTGGGGTCCCAAATGATACTTAGAAATATATTGTGCAAGCAATATGCCAATTTACTGTACATTTTCGGGTTTGAATAATGGCCTAAATATATTTTGGGGATGTGGGGTGTGAGGTGATGATGAATTTAAGGGGATCACCTATTTTGTTCTGGAAAGGTAGAGGTCATCAATTTTGTACACATGTAGGGGGTGGGGGTGGGGTGTGTGGTGTGTTTAAAAGCAAATTTGTACATGAAAAAGATTATGCTGAAAATAATGGGGTGGGGGTGGGGGGGTGTGTGTTAATTGATTTTGAATATGACCTCCAAAAGGGGGTGCCACTTACTTTGTACATGAATTGTAGGGGAGGTCATTCACATTGTACATGCTTCTCCATAAAAATCATCACCAACACCCTCCCCATTAATTATGAACGGTCCTTAAATATGTATGTAGAAACTATAAACCGGAAGTTGTGAGCTTATTTATCGTGTGAATGGGTGTGATATATTTTGTTGAACACACTGTCAGCGAGTCGTTAATTCGATGAAAATGATTTATGTTTCAAATCCTTTCGAAAACGATCCGTTGCCATGGCATTTCCTCTTACCATTGCATCCCAAAGCATTATAGGCTATGAGAATAGGTTGTTTACGTGAACGGAAACTGAAGCACTTATGTTGTGCGCGTAATCAGGTCAGTGCTAACGTTATTTGTGTAACGCTAATTTCAGTGTACACTAATCCTATGTTCTATCAACTATTTCGCCATTAATGCTCTGTTTAATGTGACATAATGGGGAGTAAATGGTTTGACGAATTTACAAAGTAACTACTCAATGAGAAATTCCGAGAAATGGCAATATTACAATAACTGCAGTACCGTTCTATTAGCATTATGTTTCGTCCAGACATGCTAGTTCTTCGTGCTTTGACAACAGTCGTCAGTCGGAACAACTTCCAGATTCCGCAATTCGTAATATAAGAACCACAGAGTTAACAGTAGGTTTAATGTCGATTTAAGTTTAGGCTTGGCCGATAGGCAGGCCTATATGCCAGTATCAGAGTGACAGCTACTATTGGACCGTAACTACCGCAGCGCTCCAGGCGGGCAAGGGGGCGCAACTCCAGGAATGTTCCCCATTGGTGCACTCCATGCATAGACGCTCTTCTGCAGTTATTGCCACTCGTGGTGGTCACACTAGATACTGAAGTCAAGGGTCTGAATGGACTGCAAACATTCACATAATGTCTTGAAATTCATCTGAGTTATTCGTTGATGTGTCAAGATATTGTACATAAAAAATGTTTTGGATCCACTTATTATGTTCATTTCTGTAATGATTTGATTACAGTGCCTATCTAATTTTGAATTCGTACTGACGTTTTTTCTGCTGCTGGGTATATAATAAATATGCTGGATCTCCTGGGAAACCAGGAACCAACTTGGGACATGTCAGGGAAATAAAGTCATGGTCCACACATCAGAATATATTGTGGCCAGTGAAATGACATGGTCACTCATGACCCCCTGAAACTGTATCCTTCCTTCATGATAAAGATTTGGCCAGAGTGAGTTTAGTTTTACGCCGCACTCAGCAATATTCCAGCTATATGGTTGAAGTCTGTAAATAATAGAGTCTGGACCGGACAATCCAATGATCAACAGCATGAGCATCAATCTGCACAATTGTGTCAACCAAGTCAGCAAGCCTGACCACCCTCTTATGACAAGCATGGGTTACTGAAGATCAATATTCTAACCCAGACCTTTACGGGTCATTTGGCCAGAGAAGCTGCTTGATCCATGCTGAGAAATATGTTTGATCACCAAACAAACACAAGACAATGGTAACAGTAATAGTAAAACAGTTTATTTAGAATAAAGACTTATTCCAAACAAAGGATAAAGACATCTGGATGAAACAATACAGGAGTGACGATAAGTGCAGGTTTTAGACAATACATGTAATTGAGATTCAGCACAATAAATTAATTTTGTCATAGGTAATAACAATGGTATTTACACTGCTAGTATTGTACAAATATATACAAACATCTAACACGCCTTTGGCACAAAAAGATGAACATTAGAATTTACAATACAAACAAAAATACATGGATTTACATATACTACTATATACATAAACTTTTGCTCAATTCATGTACTTCGATTCAGAAATAATCAATTAGTCCAGGTTTCTATACAACAGCCTGAGATAATACTATCTGCTTCATGACTCGCACTACATTGAAAGAAGAATCATTGCTGATGGATGCATTCTCTGAAATTATTGTTCAGAAATTATACCAACATATTTCTTTAAAGAAATGGCTCACATCAAATCTAGATACTGACATTACACATAAACCACATGTAAATCAAATTAAACATGCTAATGTTGAAACAGGTGTGGCAAAGAGCAAGGCTTGCAATTTTGGTCATAAAATCTATCTACCTCCCAACCACCAGTTTGTGGTGAAGTCCAACTTGATTCAAGGTGCAAACGGTTAGAAAGTGAAGACCCCTAAAGAAGGCTCCTCTACATCATTAGACTGATATGTTGTACAAGTTTGTGAAGGCTCGAATGGTGCTCTAACTATCCAAAAAAAGCTACACTTAATCAAGTTTGTGCCAGCAAATCCTAGGTTCTGCCCACAGACTGACATATGATAATTCCTATTGTTATGATTGTCACACAGCCCTGAGATGACTTAGTGAAACAGGGCCAAGCAATCGAACCAGGTGGCTAAAAACATAACACGAGTACTATCAATGAATAGTTGAGGTAATGATATTAAATACTCTTTGTGTATGTATTGGTAAGTAGTAATCAATTTCTATTTTTCAGCACGATTAAAAAAACAATATCACTAAAGATAATGTTTTTACAGTACATGACTTTTCTAATTTTACATTCATAAGGGATGTTACCATGAGTCTAATTGCTAACTGTTTTGAAATATGCCTGAGGATAGTGAATGTATCACATTTTGACATGAGTTTACATCACAGATACAGAGCACTAGTGGCATGGGACTAGAAGACAGTTGCAGCAAACTATGTACAGCTTCATCTTCTTTGGAACTTAGAAGACTCGGATTTCTGGGGTTGTGTTTGGGGCTGCAACCCTACAGTGCATTAAAAATATCATGATCTCTGATACATTGGTAACCAATAAAAAAAATCAGAACTTGGAAGAGCAAGGTCATGCCTGCTGTATGATGTACTGTAGGAAAAAAATCATATATTTTAACAAGCAGCATACTTCAAACAGGTTGATCACTTCAATGTTAACAATATATGAATACATTATGTTAATGGTGTGTACTGCAATAAGATAAGTCACATATAGTCTACTGTTTCTTGATATTCAATGTATGGTACAATCAGTGTTCTGCAGGTGCGTAATGTGGGATTGTATGGGCAGAAATAGCTAGCTGTGTGGAGCAAAGGTGACTACATCAAGCAAACTGATGTCATGAGTTTTGTCCCTGGTCTATTGATGTCACTTCCACAGCCTGTGTGGCATCAGGCACCTCTGTCTTCAGTTGGGTCAGGGGAGCCATGGCAATCTGCACATTGGGGTTATCTCCTATAGTTCCCATGCTGGAAGCCACCGTATGATACACTGATGCTGGTATGGTCACAATTCCTGCACAATAGAAATCAAAATAGAAATTTCAGGCGCAAAAAGTGAGGATATAAATTGATGAACGCATTAGGTTCATAAATATGTATTATATGAGACAAGAATTAGTAATTACCTCCTAGAGACCCATCTCCTGTGAATATAATCTGTCCACTTGAGTTGATTGAGGCGCCAGTAAGTGTAGTGACGGTGGCTGTGTTATCAGCCATCTCCACACTGACCGGGGTAACTAGTTGACCAACCTCCTGGTGATTGGCAGCAACCTCTGCCAGGGTCTGCACTGCCTGAGTTGCTTCCTGCTGGTGGTTGTCATGTAGTTGCTGAAACATACCCACAAGTATATAATGTGTACCGTATGCATCAGTATACACATTAGGTACACACAAACAGGTGATGCAAAATCTGATCATGTAAGCCAGGATTCATTGAGTTCAATCCACATCACTGAGGTACAATGAAAAACTTTGTAAACACATGACCTCCATTTCAACTGATTCTAATTACTTGCAGGTAGTCCTGAGGTTCTGCTAGTAAGGGGCGGTGGGGTAGCCTAGTGGTTAAAGCGTTCGCTCGTCACGCCGAAGACCCGGGTTCGAATCCCCACATGGGTACATTGTGTGAAGCTCATTTCTGGTGTCCCCCGCCATGATATTGCTGGAATATTGCTAAAAGCGGCGTAAAACCAAACTCACTCACTCACTCTGCTAGTAAAGGCTTTGCATTACATTACAGGAAGCAGAAGCATTCCCCCCACCATAACCTAACATGTCTGATGAATGTGTAGTTTGCATGTTTCTTTCCTTAATGCATACTTGAGCTAGCTAACTCACCTGTGCAGTAACTGCGTGTACAACTGTAGCTTGAGTTCCATCAGGTAGAGTGACAACTGAATTGCCTGTGGGTCCAGTGTCAATGTGGATGATAGACACAGTTCCATCTGGGTTGTTGATAGTCTGTACCATAGTGCCCTGGTAGTGCGAGGCAGCGTGGGTCTGTGCCTGGGCCTGTGTCGTTCCATCGTCATTGAAAACATGAAGCAAGTCTTCACGACCATGATGTTTGTAACAATTTTTCACAATGGTACGGAGGGCTTCAGTCCAAGAAACCTATCATAGAAAAGTAAATAACAGAAAAAGAGGGGATATAGTGGAAGGGTGCTATAAATGCAACTATTGTAACATTCCCATTTTTAATGGCAGAAGACCATGAGGTAGATGAGGGCCCACTTGCACAGACCTTAGTTACAATCAATCTTACACCCCTACAATCAACTTTCCAAGCACCTTAGAACTGTCCTACTTCACTTGTACAAACCAACTGGAAGGCAGCATTGAATTAAGATCGTGATCTTAGCTAAGATTTCACACACATTTCAAATGCCTCAACATATGTATTTCCCTGTTTGATGAATACTTGTATTTATCTTAAATGCATACATTAAAATCCCTCCTCTCCCGTCTGACTCAATTTTAGACATAAAAATGATAAAGAAACTTGGATGATTTCATATGTTAATTTGTATCTAATTGTAGAATATTTCAATGATTACCTAAAACAAAAACACGGAAAGGAATATAGGTGACCTCTGCTATGTCACAATATTAAAAACATTGGGCAAGGCATACTCTATGATACACTGCAACATGCAAAGGGAAACCACTTCCATCTTGCATGTAAACTAAGATTAGCTGCCCTGGAGTTATGGAAAAGGTCATGGCCAATACTAATTCACTATTATCCTTCTCTTCATTATTGAAAACATATCTTGTTTCACACTTCTTCCTGTTTGTTCATACCTTAATTCACTGAAGGCACACAATGTCAGGTTTTTATGTGCATAATATCCTTCTTGTATATATGAAAAGGAATATGATTTTGTGATTTCTCTTGATAAGCGTAATGTATACATCACAGGTTTGCACAGCACAAATGTATGGATGCAGAAAATAACATTTCCTGTAAGGATACTTGAAATTAGTAAGTGCTGGTCCTCCCATCTCGAAGGTTATTTTTTAGGTCAGGGTACATCTTTGATACATGATATAAGTACCCTTTTCTTTTCGTCATCACTACGTGCATCACTCCTAACGTTGGCCCATGGGAGGTCGCTAGGCCACCATACAGGTCGACACTCAGGTTTTCCCCAGCCAGGTTTACTGCGGCCAGTCGAGTACTTCAACATCTCAGGGATGAAGTTACGCAACTGTGCCTGTGAACAAGAAGAAAACATTCTAGAAATGCTTCATTTATTAAGCAGGAATGACTATTCTTGAAAAAGTATAGTAGTGAAGAATCCCATGTTAGTGTGAGATAACTTCAATCCATAGTGTTTGTGGTAGTTAACATGGTGAAGTTAAATACTATTTTCATTACAACCGAGATCAAAACCAAATTGTAACAGCATCACTCTCAGTTTACTCGGCCCAATTTGACTTCAGAAAATTTTACCAGAGTACACTGTAGTGCCAGCGGAACTTGATGTAACCATGGTAACTCACTTGTGTCATTTTGTCGACCTGTGTTGGGATGCCATCGATGACGAGCAGAGGCAGCTCATGTAGGTGGGAGTTATCACACTGTGACTGAGGTGCCTGGTCCTGCAGGGATGTCTCCAGCTCCTGGATGACCATCCCCCGACAGTTCCGGATCTACAAACGATTTTGAAGACACCATAAGGAGAAGCACACATGCCAAAGTTTAGCTCCCTTAGAGAACTATCTTTTGATTTTATTTATCATTACTATACTTAGCATATTACTTCAACCATTCAAACTTGAAATAACAAATATCTCAACAATGAAAGTAGATGCACCATTAAATTGATGAAAGAAATTGCCTCTGCCTTTGGTAACTGACACTGTAATAGTAGTCCAAATGTCTTAATTCAGAATGAATATTATTCCAAAAATTAGAGTCCTACCACACTCTCCAAGGGCTGAGAGCCAAACACTTTGAAGGATGATCCTGTCTGGCTTGGCTTTCCCGGTGTACAACACAACACAACAGCCTGCTGCCCGACACGGGTTGTGTATTCTTCTATAGTGCTCTTCAGCTTCCTGCAGAATGAACATATAGGTAACAAGTCAAAATAATAGTATATGAAGATTTTTAATGTCACAAATTTAGTCAGATAAGAAGAACAGATAATTTCAGTCACTGAAACACAATACATTGTGGACTATAAGATCATAATAATGTACATGTTTCATTCAACTACCAAGCATTTCACAAGATTGTTTATAGCTGTATCACCACCCATATGCAAGAAAATAATCAAAAGCAAGATTTTCTAGAGCATTCTTGACAGACTATTCAATATTGTCACTGATTTGGAAAAATGACATATGATGTATGGCAACTTCCGTCCAAATATCATGTTACTTTCAAACACACTATTATGAAGGTTGTAACATAAAAAGACAATGTCTGTCCTTGAACTGTCTACCATATGGTTTAAAAAGAAAGACATTAAAGTATGAAAATTATATGGGCCTGACCAGTAGCCTATATGCTTAACTAAAGTAAAAAATAACCTAAAACCTTAGCCCAAAGTGACAACACATAAGGACACTCCCGAGAAATCCTAAAGTTCTAATCATTCTAAAAGCTCCCAGGCTAGTCTAAACTTATCTCCCAACTTACCTTAGCAGCCTTGTCTGCTGACGCTCGCGCCGGGAAGGGTTTGTTTCGAACTGATGGGGATGACCCTTCTTTTTGCCAGTGGCTATTGCAGCAGCAGCAGCAATCCCAACGGGCCCTGCAACAGCAGCAGGTGGCTACAGATATACTGACTCACAAAGTAAGCAGTCACATCATTATGTCTGTCAAGCTTTTCATTCAGTTGATCAACTAGATACATCTGCCTATAATTGAGTGACAGCAGAGTTGTATACATTCTGTTTATCATGTTTATGTTTATTCTGTCAAAAAGCATCTGTCATGTCTCTATACGCATGTACCAGAACAAAATCAAATATCTGGTCCTCCAGGGTTTTTACATGATGCATGATTCTGCGTATTTGACGAAACAATTTTCTAAAAGACTCTCAAACTATTATCATACGAGTCAAGTTTTATGAGTGACCCTCGGAATTCAGTTCAATAAAATCGATTTGATAAGCAAACAATGATAGCTTTCGTTTCACTGCAAACTGTGTTGAAAACGCTGGCGATATTAACAGAAAGTACGGAAGTACCACATAATATAAGATTTCAAGCATATCATGTACGCACATAAATACTTTTGTACGTCTAACATTTAATGTCCATGCCTATCGTGCAAATGGAAATCTATTTCGGATAAATACTTGTTGTCAAGAGTTTCTTTTCCAACGCGATTTGACACATGAGGAAACCCAGGCAGTGGGAATCTCTTGCGTTGCTCAGTTATTTCCTCACTCGTCTTCAAATACAAATACATGGTTGGAAATAGTGATCGATGAATCGTCCAGACAAACCACATCACCATCTCGCTCACACAAAAACATGTCAGTACTCCTTCTAAATTCTCAGTACACATCCACTTGCAATATGATGTGTAAGTACACCCACACCCCCAAAAGTTATCTGGAGCCCTGAGTTACAATTCATGAAATGCAACAGCATTTCAGCACATCTGTCAAAAATGCAGAAAAGACAGACAAAGTTCACTGTAGTGACCAGACTGATGGTCACATTAAACAAATGCTTACTGTTTATGTCCGAGCTCAAAAAAATATCCCTGCTGATACTTTTAAAGATTTGATGAACAACAAGTTTCAATGGTGTACAACACTACACTAACATTTACAGAAATGCTCATGTCATTGAGGAATCGATCTTCCCTGTTATGGAAGAACAGCAAATTGAAGCCATAAACTAAAGAGCAGTCCATACATTGGCCTTATGGTGGATGAAACCTGTGACATCACCATAGAAAAAAGCTTGCAATTTATGTCAGGTATATTGATGGTGAACTCTCTGGGTGAACCGGCTCGTATACAGTATACTGGACTTTGTTATGATTGAATTGAACAGTGAAAAGGATATTATTTATTAACTAATCAAATAAATGACAATAAAACACAAAACAAAAAAATCATTGCAAAACTCTTGCTTTTTGATTTACACAGAGAAATATTACACTAAAATTTTCATGACTCCCAAATACTGAAAATGACTCCCAAAAATAAATACTGTGAGTCAGCATGACTTCCATTTCCCAAAGCCTGTGTAAAACCCTGGTCCTCAATATCATTATGAATAGTATGCACCATGCAGACCATCCAAATTCAGTATTTATTACTAGGGCTGTGCAATATTACCGGTAAACCGGTATATACGGGTACAGTATCTCACGATACGACTATCGCGATACGGTTCAGATTCTGCAATATATTGGGTCATCCAGAGTCAGCTCCCTTTGCATTATCTGCCCTTGGTTTCCAAAGCAAAAAAATATTCTCTAAAAGTGCCAAATATACTTTTATTTCTGTTGGTTTCATGTAACATTTTACAAGTGGGAGTATCTTTATAAGTGGCTCCAGAAGTGCCAAATATTCTACCAAATGCCTTACGTTTTGTGGGTTTGAATGGTTTCATGTGTGACATTTTGGAGGAATTAAGGGACTGTTAATAATTTATGGCTTGGGGGGGTGATGATGATTTTTATGGAAAAGCATGTACAATGTGAATGACACACACACACACCCTCCTAAAATTTATGTACAAAATAAGTGACCCCCACATGTCATGTACAAAGTCAATGACCCCCCTCCCCCTTCCCATAATTTCTTAGCATAATTTTAAACATATTGTGATGTACAAAATTGATGACACACCCCACCCATCCCCAAGAACAAAATGGGTGACAAAAGTAAGGCTGAAATAAACGTCTGCTTTGAGTGAAGATAAACCATTTAAAGTCTGACTCACCATTTTTCAACTATTAAAACAAGAAACAAACTGTTGTTGACTGTTGAGTTTTTAAAATTGTAAAAGAATCATGCCTATGAATTCAGTCTTTTAAAACATTTTCTGCTGATATGCATTAGTGAAAACAAGTAAAACGTGTCTTTGATATTGTGAAAAAAAAGTGTTTAGGAACATCTAAAATTATCTTTGTTAACAGTTTTGCTTGCGAAGTAACATTTTTCCATTTTATGTTTACACATAGCAATATCAATTGCCAAAACGTAGCAATATTCAAGCAGCATTTGCATCAATTTCACGTGTAGAATGATTCTATAGGGTATAAAGAGAGACTATAATGCATGATATGATACACAAGTACGAGAAATATGCCACGATTAACAGCTGAAGACAGAGAAAGAGCCATTGTGATGATGCAGATGGGGTCGACATACAATGCTGTTGCCAATGCCATATCACGGTTATACGACTTATTCAGCGCTACAGAGAGACTGGGGTCACCATAGACAGACCAAGAATTACTCAAAAACTATCAAACACATGTCACGTGGACGTCCACGCCATCACAATGCCAGCTGAAGACAGGTACCTCCGTCATTAAGGAAGGAGGGTAACGATTATTTTGGCGTTTAGTGTATGTAATCAATTTATCAAAAAGGTCTAAGTCTTTCTTACTGTATACTTACATACTAGTCAAGGATGTTAGTTATTGGAGGTCACATGAGATGTTTAAGCTCAAGTAGTTCACCTAAATCTTGTTTTTGTTTAATTTTGCAATAGTTTATGTTAACACGTTTATATTGGAGTTGAATCTGAATTAATCACCGAAATACAGTAACAATAATTGCAAGCTGTCTTGAAGTGCATTCTGTTGAAGCACTGACCATGATACTTATGTTATACTATTACTATACTGTATCATTATGTTCTCAAACCTTTGTTGCAATACCTCAATTAAACATCCCACATTAAGGTTCTATATCATTTTATTTATCTGTAAACCATTGGCATACACCCATACACAATGGGGACTGGGAGCCTGAAAGTATGGTGTAACAGCAACTAAGAAGATGATGTCACACACAGAGAGCTATTTATGATGTATGCACTTGGGCAGAAACCCTCCATTCAATATATCACAATATATATTGCAATATCTCTTAAATTATTGCAATATATCGCAATATAAGAATCAGGGCAATATCCAGCCCTATTTATTACCAACCATGTGGGTACCTGCTAACCTGCTATTCACTGCAAGAGTTACTTTACATTTAGTCACTGAGTATTACACCAAATTCCCATTTGCATTTGAATTATCACAGAGATGGGAGGAGGAGGGGGAGGACTCACCTGCAGCTGCAAGCTGGGCAGTCACATCATCAGTCACTGTCCCTTGAAGGAAGTCAGAGGTATCAAAGCCACTCTCTGGTGAGCTAGGCTCGCTCAAGTCATCGTCCATCATTGAATTGATCTGAGAAGTCATGGTCACATTTCCTGCTATAGTGCCATGCACTGTAGATGACATGCCCGTGTGATTCATTCTGTCAGACAAGGTTAACTGTAACATAATGGAAAGCACGTAAACACTTGCAAAAAGTGCCCAGGCATGCTTGCGAGTATTTCAAACAAATGTTATCTGTAGCCTTCAGTAGTGAGCATTGAATCAATGTCAAACTATTTGAGTTTAAAAGCCCAACTGGAAGAAGTTTCACTTGACACAGGTTTTGAACTAGAACGAAGAGTTGTAGACCAGGGTGCCGTCGAAAAAAATGAGGGGCAATAAGGGGATCGTAATTCCAATATGATAGTATGGTGTGGCCGCAATGATATAGATCCCGATAAAATGGTTGAGATACAATTTGTATCTTGAAACAGTAAGTTGAGTACCTATATTTCTACCTTAAAGGCACTATATCACACCACACTTCTCTAAAAATAAATAATGCATTTATCTCAATAATACCAACTATCAGCCCTCAGGGAAGCTACCATATACAACATTACATATTTAGAATACAATATTATATTAAAAGGAATTAATGCAACATTGCATTAAATCAACTCTCATGCCCTGTAACAGCTGAACATTATTTCAAGAGTTATGTCCCTTGGAGTGCTTTTTATGAAATAGCCTACGCACAACTTGTGATTGAAACCAGTTTGGCAAACACTGACAACACCGCGTGCAACAGTTTTCAATGTACGAAGCAATTGTTTAAATTCCATATATGGCAAGTGTTCTCTTTGGAAGCAGTTCGCCTCAAAGTTTCAATTATCGATCGATTTCAGGCAAGACGTAAGGGATAGTAAGTCTTTTATTGCATCAATAGGAAGCAAAAGTGACTGCATATGTGAGTGCATCCATGCCAAAATATTGTAAAACATGTGTGACATTGTGCCTTTAATAATCTCTCCCCTTTTGCACGTTAATCACAACCCTGAATCATTTCTATTCAATTTTCAGGCAGCAAAGCTGGGATATTGTAATGGAGAAACATTAATGATTGGGGATACTGTGAAGATTCTGCTATTTTTGCCAACCAGGAAGTAGCACAGAATCTGCATAAACTGGTTCTTAAACAGTTTCTGTTATTATTCATGTTTATTCATCAACACTGCCTCTAATGTACTGAATCTAGTGTCGTAAATCAATGTATCATAATTTTGTATCTCAAAACAATACTGTATCTCCATATTGTTACAAAACCCACAATAACATAGATTTCGGAAAGCCATAGAGCTAAGGTTGTGTTGTAATGAATGACACCATAGGATATACAGGCATCCCTCGCCATAACGCAGGTCTTGGGGTCCATGGATGACCCCTCGCGTTATTAGACACCCGCGTTATAGTAACGATTACATAACGCGGAACAAAGGCCAAGTAAAATCGTATTTTCCATGGACATAACAAAACTGCTATTTCGTGTATTGTGCCCAGTCAAAACTATATCGTATTGTTGGAGGTGAAAAACACCAAAACTTTGTAAATGAAAATAGATGTATGTACATGAAACTTGCAATCAAACATCACAAGACATTATAATTCAATTGTTGTTCCTGTCATGCTACCTGTTATTCAACTAAGCCGGAAATAGCAATCAGCTGGGCACACATCGATGTTTTGGTCCAATGTACCGGTGATTCAATTAAAAACGATCCGAAAATATAACATCAAAGAATTTCTATTCCATTATCAGAATAATTTATATGTCAAGCAGTTATTCTAACAGAGATCTTATATATTGCTATCGTATAAGTATAATGCATGTTTTCTACGAACATATATAACATAATAATTAGCATTGCTAAGCACTTTGGGTTACCTGGCTGGATACATTTTACGTAGGAGACAGTTTGACAAGTCACCGCTGACTTCCCGCGGTACGTGCCACTTTGATCGTAAAAACAAAATGTTGGCAATTACTTGTCAAATATGACTTCAATGAGTCAATGACGCGGATCTTGGGGTCAATGGATGACAAGGCTGTAATCTGTTCATGATTGCTGAGAAAAATGTGAAATTGGTGCTATCGCGGTAGGCGCAAAAGACGGACCCTCACGAATGTGGTAAGCGGGTGTTGTATAGAATGAGGTAATGCCATTTCACTCACGGTTTCTCCGGTGTTATTGTAAACAGTTTTAATGAATGAAAATGGGATTGAATTTAATCAAATAAAATGTGTTTTCTGACATCATACATTCTCGGATGGTGGTGTTTACCCGCGCAATTACGCAGTGTGTTGTATCATAGCAAACGTTGTAAGTACTCGGCTGATGATCGACATGTCTTCATGATAAAGTTATTACGATGTTTCGCTGTTCATTTATTATTATTGAAAAAAACCCTGCATGTTTTAAAAACCCTGGATATGTATGATAATGCAATCCGCACTGAATTTCACTAGTTTACAACGTGATTAACCAGATCTCAACAGCAGATTTGTTGATGTGCTATTTTCGATGACGTGAATATGTGTGATCACTGGGCAACTTATTTTTATGGGAGCCACAAATTACCCCGCGGTTTAACCGAATCCGCGGTATCGCGAAGAGCGTTATTGCTAGGGATGACTGTATATTGAACTTTAAATAAAGAGCCCTTGGCACCTGGAAAGCAAACTGTGTACAAATACTAACCTTTCATTCACAATTGGAAGTATTCTTATTTTCTGAGGATTTTTCAACATTGCATTCACTGAAATAATTCACATTTAGTAACATGACCTCTTCTGTTTGACTGTTACCAGTGACAAACACATCACTTTACATTCGCATGACTACTTACTAGTTAATTATCATGAATTGGGAAATTCCTCTTTTGGTTTTGACAGACAGAAGTGCTGCAGATTTGTCATCAAATCTTGGCCTCTGAGCAGGTGTAGATAAATTCTTATGCTGATTGTTGTTCTGTGATAGTAGTTATGACAGTTAGCACTTTAATTTCTAATTTTCTAATGCTTCATTTTACACATCTTTACATGTAGATTTGGTAATGACACTAATAGGACACCTAGGATACATGAAAGTCTTACATACCTGTTTCAATATTAAACTATAATATCATTATCTTGGACTAGGAGTGAGTGCTTTGGGTTTTACGCCACTCAGCAATATTCCAGCAATATCACCATGAGGGACACCACAAAAGAGTTTCAAACAATGTACCCATGTTTGGAATCGAACCCGTGTCTTCAGCGTGACAAGCAAACCCTTTAACCACAGGGTTAACCCACCGTCCCCGTCAGACTAGCAGAAAAGAGCAGAACTCAAACCCCTCAACCCAAACTTCTTGTTAGCATCACATTTAAGATAACAAATACTACCATGGAATGAATGGCATAATGCAGGTTGCTTAAGTTTGATCACTGTCATTCGTGCAAACAATAACATTTTGTAAAAAAGTTGGAATTTTTTATGCAAGAAGACTTTCTGAGAGATAAGAGACTGAGACTTCAGGTTCTGCTCAGGAGAGTAGGAGACATTTGGTACAGGTAAAATCAACTTTTAAACTTATTTTACAGCATTAGCCACTAAACTAAGAAGATGCTGATTAGAAACCAGTGAAAGTATTTTTGTCCATTATGGTTGCCGGGATCTTTGCGCTACATTATGATAATGGCCGACACGAAGCCTGAAGGAGCACGGGTTTGGGGTTACGACGAATAGAAATGGGTCGTCATTTGGGGGATATGGGGGATATGTTTATAGGCATCAAACGTGTCGTCTGCATTCGGCCGTCCAGCAGCGCACATCTCTGTGCGCAAGCGGGAGTCAAAATATTGCCGAGCTTTGCGACTGCGCTTGAGCCTGCGCGGAGGGTATTAGACATTCCTTTCAGTCATGAGTTAGATATCGTGCACTTGACAGAGGATGGATAATTCGAGTGGATAGTATTTATTGAATATATTTTAATGGTTCCTATGGAATTTATTTAGAGAACTTCCGTTACAAATGCATTCCATCACCACTCATTGAGGTAGGGAAATTTCCGAACGTAAAATACAGGAGTTGACGATACATCGGCAATCTTATGGCAGACATCTTGGTTTCAGAAACTGCTCTCTGCGTCTGCGCAGCCCTATCGAAGTATATTTTCCCTGTGTACGCCGTAAAACACTGTGATAAGGCACTTTGTCCCTAATATATCATCATGTTTTTGCCTTAGTATCAACAAATGTACCACGAAATGGAAGAATCAGCTGAAAGTCGCCTATATACCCACCAATATCCTCCTTGATCGAGCCAATATTGATGTATCCTTCCGCACTGTTGATGTGTGCGAAGGCTGGTGAATTATTCTTCCGCTTGTAAACTAATGAAGAAGAGTCCCTTGTTAATGGACACATTAACCTTGCAAGAACCATAAGGAGGGCATTAAAATGCCAATTTCAAGTGCACTGAATATATTGCTTTTAGTTGGTGGTAAATCTGTAGATTTTGTGTTATGGAAAGATGGCCTGTTTGACCGTCCAAGCACCTGTGAATGGTGACTTGACTGCGTGTAGCCATGCAGAGCCATAAGTCAGTGAATATTATTGATTACCACAACATTTTTCCATATAGAGAAGACGGAACATAATATTGATTGGAACATATTTTATTGATTTATAAATTCTGATACAATAAAAACATGTTGACTTCCCCCGATGTAGAGGGGAGATGAGGCATAGTAATGAAGACGGTGGTATTTTATGTCGTTCTTTCTTTGTCGTCATTTACCATTGTATATATATATACACGAAACAATATATAGTCCTTATAGGCGGATGCAGGAATTTTCAAAGGGGGGTGGGTGGGTGGATGGGTTTCGAACCCCCTGAACCCCGCTCCACCCCCCAACCCTCTGGCATGTGTACACACACAATCAAATGGCGATTTTAACAACTTCATATGTTTGATTTAAGATTGGTTGTTGTTTAACGCCGTACTCCGCAATAGTTCAGCTATATGGCGGCGGTCTGTAAATAATGGAGTCTGGACCAGACAATCCTGTGATCATCATGAGCATCGATCGACGTAATATTGGGATACGATGACGTGTCAACCAAGTCAGCGGAAAAGACCACTCAATTTATGGTCTCGCAATAACATAGACTGTCGTGTACACACGGCCACGGTAGCAGTAGTAATATTTGACGAGCCCGGGTAAGTACTACGGAATTAGACTTGCGTCCGTTAGTGTGTCGTCTGCTAGGCCAGTAGATATCTGCGAGTTCAGGATTACCGTGACAAAGTTTGCCAAACAAGGTGAAAATGTATTGCATTTACTTGCAATAGAATTATGGAGACGGGCACATTATGCTGGACAACTGAGGAGAGATTTAAAGTGGAGACGGAAAGTATTGTCGGGAACTGATGTTTTGCATTATATATAGTCGTAAAGCAGGTACAAATTCCCACGTAAATATACGACGAAATAAGTGGCAGCATGGTTGCCAAACTTTTGTTGTGAATTAACATTCCAAATGTGATTTGGAATTTACAGTCTCTCTGTAAATTAACATTAATTCTGCATTTCAACATGGAGAGGAAAACACTAAAACTATCCGATTTTTTTAAAATACGTAGAACATGACAGAGAAGGAAGGTTTGTGAACTTGTATTATTACAAACCTACAGCTGGAACAATGTGTGTCAAATATATATTACTGGCAGTGTCGGGCTTCAAGCACGCGCGTGTTATAACTCACTAATACAAATGTCTAAGTGGGCCAGCAAGACCGAGAGAGTTTCTTTTGTTTGACGCCGTCCTTTACTGTAGATATCAGTTAAAAACCACAGTGTGTGTCAGCCAGACTAGACTCGGGTCAATCATTAGTCCAAGCCACGGAAGTAGCGCTGGCTGAGAGGGTTAGGCGGTTGACTTTGTGTGCTGCATGACGATTAGGTGCCTGACTCTGTGGGTTCGAATCCCGGATGGGACTCAGCCCAACAAAAGTACTAGTATCTGTACTTCTCTAATGGAGTGTGTGTTTGTTGTAAGTTGTAATATCACATTGATTAACTGATAGTTATTATGGGTCACGTTTAAAAGGTCACATGCAACGTAAAACACAACTTTGCAGATTCTGATGCCTTTCGGTATGGACTTTCAGTAACAAATGATCATGCCTTTCGGTATTGACTTTCAGTAACAAATGATCAAAAATGCAAATTCAACTTATAAAGTTGAAAAATAACGCCTTGAAAAAAACCCCGCGAAATCGGAGTTAAAACGATTCACTAAATTCACCCTAGCTAGGTGAAAAGTGTTTTCAACATCTGTGCTGCGCTGCACCGCGCTCATGGCGTATGCGCAGTGAATAGGTTCGCGCAGCTTGGAAGGGGGATGTCCGGATTATAAGGTCGTGAGCAGGAGTAGTCTAATCTTGGTTGTGTACACAAACAACAAATAGTAAATAATCTACTCGTTACATAAAAGAACCTTGTTAAGGATCTAGATCTACTCAGCTATGTGTCAACCAGTGAGGCGTTCGACATTTCAAGACGGACAACCTTCGCTGGCGGCCGTGAGTACTCGGATATTTCACAGTCGCGAGCTTTTTATATGCTATGACAGAACATTACTGATTTAACTGTTTGTAAAATTTCATTTGACTATTTCACCACACGTTCTTCTTACCGAGTCACTTTCTCAGTTCGATACTTAACATCAACGTCATTATTTAGCATTGTCAGAATTTCTAACTGTGATATAGATATGTCTCTGTCACTGACAAACTCAATGTCTGTTTTATTGACACCTATGTGTCTGCCTGCCTGTCTGCTAATGACAATATGCAGTACACAACTTCGATCACTGACCACACCCAATTTGAACTTAACACCTATCAGGCTATACACCATAAACAAAAACGCATAGATTTATGGCTCGTGCACCCGATTTCTGTCTCAGTCACACTATGTAATTACACAGACAGGCAGGTGTGATACTTGTACACATGACATGTTATGGTGTCTGTTGATTACCAAATGGTATACACAAAAAATGAGCATGTATTTACAAAACCCAAAATCTCTATCCCGGGTGCTTCGTTTCGAGGGAAGTAAACCCAAGTACAAAATATTGCACTTTTGATTTGCGATTGTACGCTTATAATTTTGTTTATAGGCAGCAATGTATATTATATGTCATGAATATGTGATAATTGTGTTTTAATTATAGCATGACCAGAAATTAGGGAGAATTTTAGGAATATGTTTAATTGGATTTCTAGTATAAACAACCTTGACCAGCTATCAAGTGCTTGGTTTCATTCAAGAGAGACAACTCCGTTAATCCTTTTTCATTAGTTTGTGACGAGTTAACCCCCTTTGTTTACTTGCTAGCAGACAACATTTTCAGTGATCCTCAGTGTGGATGATTTAGAGAAGAGGAAGTTGATTTTAGAGTATTATAACAAGGACATCAGATCAGCTAAAGTGATTTCAAGTAGAACAGGCATCCCTTTGTCCACTGTTTATCGTGTTTCGAAAAATATTGCAAATGGATATGGCATTGAGCACCAGGGAGGCGCAGGTAGGCCCAGAAAATTGACTGTCGGTGACAGGAGGCGGCTTGATATTCTTGTTTCTAAAAACAAACGAAGGACTTTAGAAAACTTAAGGCTGGATATGATTGATAGAGGAACTGTGGCTGTCTGTAAGGAGACAATTAGAACTGAGCTGCATTCTATGGGTTGGCAGGAAAGTCGAGGAATTCCATCATTGATCATGAAAACTGAACAAAAGGTGCAAATGTTGAACTGGTGCTTAAAAATTACAGCATAGAAAATTTAACTGGGACAATGTGATTTTCTCAGATGAAAGTTCTGTGTGGCTGTTTCCTAATACACTGAAATTCTGGACCAAACAAACTGAAGAACCTTTGTATCAGCGCCCAAAGTACAGTCCGAAATTTAACGTGTGGGGTGGAATATCTGTGTTAGGGGCAACGCCCCTCTGTGTATTTGAAGGGAATATGAACAGTGAGCGGTACACAGATATTTTCGAGGGACATTTACTTCCATCTGCTCACGTGTTCTATGGAAATTTTTGGATTTTCCAGCAGGACAACGACCCAAAATATGACATTATTAGATTGGCCAAGCTATATAGCCCTGACCTAAATCCAATAGAAAATG